AACTCAGTCCGATCTATGGGTACAGGATGACGTATATGGCATCCGATTCGGAGGCTTCCTCACCTTGGCTGTTAAACGCGCTGGTCCCGACTATGGTAGACGTTGTCGCGGAACACATATAGAACGACTAGTCGCTCATAGAAGACACTCTGGTGTTTCACAGACCTGAGTATGCGAGCAATATTAAAAAGATTGCAGTTTGTTCTTCAAATTCTGGTTTTATGACAGAACGACTTAGAATAGCCTATTGTAATCGTTCTCTAGCTTCTTCGACGTATGATCGCATGAGGCCAATGACTTTGAATAGATTCTGGCTGAACTTTGCTGATGTCGGAACGACGTCTAGAACGAAGGCGTCGTCTGAACCTTCATTAACAATCATCTGCGCATTGACATAACGTTGTAGTGTGTTGAGTTTGCGCTTCGCATCCTCGACAGCTTCAGGGTCACCGTCACCGGCGAGTAAATCAGCTTTATTTGCGATCACCATCCGAGCTTTCGCACTCATGCCGGGCTGGTATTGTTCGAGTTCGTCACGCAGCACCCGAAGTTCATCCCATGGTGCAGGGCTCGAGAGGTCCACAACATAGACAAGGGCAAGCGAGCGCTCTATAGATCGTAAGAAAGAATGTCCTAGTCCCACATTTTGAGCTGCGCGGGCTATCAGGCCAGGGTTATCAGAGATAGTGAATCTGAAGTCTTCAACGAGGTCAAAACGGTGGCCAGGCCGTAGTTTGATCTCGTCCTTCTGAATCTCTTCCTTGGAAATCTGGTTTCGTGTCAAAAGGTTCGCAAGCTCCCCCGTCTCCATGCGTTTCCGGAGTTCCTCCTCTTCCACCTCAGTCTCATCGTGAATCTGATTACCTGAGATACCACCCTCGAAAGTACCGTCTTCTGCAACACGAACGACACCCACAACCGGATTCAGCGTCGTGAATGCGTAGCCGGCAACTTCAGTCTTCGCTCGTCCTCCTGTAAGTGCGCGTAACAATGTACTTTTCCCCGCGTTTGGCATCCCAACGAGACCGATATCTGCAATGAGTTTGAGTTCGAGGGAAAAGGTGATGCGCTCTCCATCTTGTCCTTTTGACGCAAATTTCGGGGAGCGATTCTCAGTGGACGCGAAGTGAGGATTTCCCAGACCACCCGAGCCCCCCGACGCAATGAGAAAACCAGTAGGTTCTGGTTGTTTTATACCCAAAGGGGCATCTACAGAACGTTCTAACACCTCTTCTTTTTCAAGGTCGAGGTAGATGGGTGTTAGAGCCTTCTTCCGCCTTGCTATCCGCCTCTCTCTTTCCTGCTTGTACAAAGTAGTCTCGGCTTCTTTGAAAAAGTCCCTCTGTACGTTGGTTGTTCCAGAGCGAGGGTAATGAAGCCATCTTTTTTCACGCATCTTGTCCCGTTTTTCCGATGGCGTAAGACCTTCAGTAGATTCTTCTTCAGCCTCCCATTCGTCTTTCGTGCGTCGCGTGTCATCTCGTGGTAGTTCTCGAACGACCGTGCCTAAGGGTACTCTGATGATAGTTGGTTCCCCGCTCTTGCCGTTTTGCCACGTCCCTTGACCGTGTCCTCCGGGTTGGCCAATGACTTTATTCGGCACAGAGGATAGGGTTGTTAGCTGCGAAGTCGGTAATATGTAAACATCGCCTCCGCGTCCGCCGTCTCCACCTGAAGGAGGTCCGAAAGGTTTATATTTTTCTCGATGAAATGCCGCACATCCGTTCCCACCGTTACCTTTCCAGGCGTTTTCAAGGCGCGTAAAATGCGGAATTGGTGTACTACGTACCTCCTCGAACAGTCAAGATAAGATGGTCCAGAAAGGTCTGTCCCTATATACAAGCAATTAGTTCCATAGACTCGACCTGTAGGAGAACCACCCACTCCTTGCTTCCGCTTCCATTCTGTTCTCCTTCGACGACACGCAGCTTCAGGATCAGGGTCACGGAAATAATGAGCTGCGGCCTGATCACTGTATTGTCTGGAGGTACCGACACAAAATCTGAGTGAACGAAGCGACGGTTTAAAGATGCCGATTGGGGTCATGGGATGGGAAGACCCGAAGAAATTCACATTTCACACGTGCATGGACTTCATTGAATAACGTAACTCGTTCAATGATTTCTGAGCTCACTGAGACTACTCTGTCTTTCAAAGTCGCGCTGTCCTCATTGATAGGTGAAGGATTGGACCGTTCTATCGGCAAGACTCCTTTCGCTCAGTTCTACATACACGAGAATAAGAATCTTGCTTCTTTCCGGCCTTCCGTGGATGGTAACGTGACATTTTGATACGAGTACACGTGAGACATGAATTTCTGAAAACTCTCTAAGTCTACTGCCACACGAATGGCTGTAACAAGAACGGCCATTTTGTATTCTCTGTCTCTAGGACAACCGTCCGCCCGAAAGCTGGGAGAACGATTCGATTCTGCCGCAAAACAATGCGACTGACTAGTCAATGCGAGTTATGTAATGGGGTAGTGTTTTCCCTATAACACAAGTCTCCATTGAAGATCCGCATTGTTTCTCGTGCCTTACATTTTTTCATACTCCTTAACAAATTGGAGGGAAAGGATTCAGGCCGTAACAGTACCGAGGTAACAACCTTCCCGCAATTCCTTATTTCCGTGATTGCTGAGCAAATCTAAAGCTGCTTACTGTTAACTCTCATTGTTGGTTGTGCCATCCAGATGTTGTCGCATCTCCCATGATAAAGGTTCCTTTCAAAACCTCATTTCGTTCAGATTTCTGACACACTCATTGGAAAGTGTAGTATGGAAGTGCTGGCTTGTGAGAGAACTTCCCGGTTTCTACAGTACCACGAACGAACAGGAGCTTTTAAGCTCCTGGAGATTTGAGCATAAAACATGTAGATCTCCACTTGGCCATATTCTGTTCTTATTAGATTAACGACCACTATAATTATCTGCGGAGGTTGTACGGAGGTCTATATCATGATCCACGAGTTTCATAGAAATGTGGCATTTGAGGCTGTCTTTCGAGATAGACTGCAATCGTGAGACGTCTTAGTGGACTAACTTACAAAGACGGATACTGATGTACTGAAGTATGTACTGACATTTCAATCTTTCAGGAACCGACCACAGCACTTGTTACGAAGTTGTTGACCACTTTCACTCAAAACGCTGTGCATATATCTTACAGCCAGTCCGAGCACAGTGTATGCAGTCAACCCCATGTAGAAGCTTAGACGCTCAAGAACAGGACTTAAGGATGGGAATTCGTTCCTATTCTGCGTGGAACTTTCTTTCAATTTCCTACTGAATCTCTCGGACCTCTATACAATGTTTCCAGGCTACCGTAATGTCCAACAGACAACTCCAGCTCGGGAGGGCACGAAAACGACCAACTACAACAAGCCTCGCTATGAGACTGTCAGCATCGAGAGCCTCTCTCCCAAATCTGATAAGTGAGTTGAGCGCGTCGTTGTACCCGAAACGGCATCATACAATGCTGATTCTAGGGTGGTTTCCCCTATCCATAATGAATACGAGGTGAGATTCAAGACGCAATTTACTTTACTGTACTTGTCAGAGCTGACGGGCGGCGGAAAATACAAGCAAAAAGGTTATTCAACTGCTAGTGGCCAAGCCTTGCGCCTCGCGGCTGAGAAAAAACACAAGAAGCAGCTTGAATCTCAAAAGGCAAGTCTAAACATTTCATAAGCGCTCAAAACGCTCACGCGCTCACGTGTTGTCCGGCGCGCTCGCCTCAAAAGGTCTCTAAACCATTAGCGAGAAATGAAAATCCGGTGGACAAGATCAAGAAGTCCAAAGTTACGCTTGTCAGGCTGATGACAGAGTTCACTCTTCCGGAACGCCTTGATTTTGTCGACCAGCCAAATGCATCCGACACCTCCCCAATCGGATTCCTTGCCTTTGATGCTCAAAACAAGCCCGTCCGCGAGTATAAGGAAGCTCTTATCCAACTCCAGACAGACATCGACCACATTGAGAGCTTTGACAAGCTAGAGATCAGAGCCTCAAGGAAAACACTGATCGACGTAATTGAGGAAGCACTACATAGGCTCGAAAGTTCTATCAATCAACGCCTTGAGCAGTGGAGAAATCTTGATGCACACGCTGTGAATGAGAAAGCAGACATTAATCCCTCAGTTCGGTATGTTCTCACTTTATCCAGACAGACGTATAATACATAGCCTATCATATGAAAATTACAGGCTTGAATCCTCTTCCCGCCCCTTTTCTTCTCGACGTATGTCGTCGAATTGGAAAGGATCCAAAGCGCAGGTCGATGTACACTCAGATTACGTCAAAGCTGGTGGAAGTCCAGTTTGCGCGGCTGGACAGAATTATCATGGACCAGTCAACCAATGATTTGGATCAGTCCTTGATTGATCAGATCTCGTTGTGGACTGGCAGCGTTATCTAGACAGATCCTTTCCGGACGTTTGCGGTGTAGGATCATGTCAGAAGGTTTTATCACCGGGAACACGGCATCGACACGTATAAGCAGATAAGTTACGTTTTTTGCGTCTTTCTCTCACATCGTGATACCATGAAATTGGTCTTCATAGCAACTCATGAGACACACTTGATTATTCTTCATTTATGCAGTATCTTTATGCCTTCTCCTCGTCTCGTTTGGTCCTTTGTCATTCCACTGGATGTACACATCAGCATTTGACTATGCAATAGACATAGTGTACGTTATAAAGAGCGTAGCCACATATCAGGGATTTCAGGCTTCTAAAAATAAAATAAAATGTAGAATGTCCCTGGGAGGATTCGAGCTTCCGGCTTCTCGGAGTAACAGAGCCACAACGAGATGATTTAACCACTAATCGACAGGGACTTACGCACACTTAAGTGTCAGCGTATTAATACGAAGATGCTGGACAGTCAACCTTTAAATTTACTGTATACATATCGATTGGACTGCGTTACAGTGCGGAGGACTGACTGTTCACGAAAGCCGGTTCGTTCAGCAAAATGGATCTAATGCTGACCGGCAGATTGTCCCTGGGAGGATTCGAGCCTCCGGCTTCTCGGAGCAGCAATGCCACAACGAGATGATTTAACCACTAATCGACAAGGACTTACAAACACGACCAGAATATCATCCATAAAGCGTACGAATTGAAAGGAAAAGGATGTCTCATCTGGCATGATCTGCAGCTGAACATATTATGTCGCTGTGTAATTTTTAGTCAAAGATCTCCTATGACAACAATCTATCCGCAACAGCAACCACATCGGCCATCTCCCTCGTGTCATGCACACGTACTACTAATGCTCCTAGCTGGACTGCATACACGACGGCTGCAGCTGTAGCCCAGACCCGCTCTTTTGGCAACGTCTCTCGTCCTCTGTCTCCCTGCGCAAGAATCGCACCAAGAAAGGACTTGCGCGATGTTCCTACTAATTGAGGATACCCTCTCAGGGGATTTCTCTCTGTGCAGAAGTTTGAGAAGCTACTTTTGAAGAAGAGAGTTCACGAACTGCCGTCTATCTGAACGTCCGCCACGATGGTCGAGCCGTCCCTCAGAACTTCCAAATTCCCTTCGACTGTCTTGCTGAATCCAATGCCGGGATCCACAATAACCATCCACCGCCGCAAGCCACCCTTCCCTTTAAGTACACGCTCGATCTTGGCTCCGAGTTCGGTCTGGACGCCGCGAATGACAGCACCGGGTCCAGCGCCATAATGGCTATAGTCCTTGTTCTTCCCGGCATCACCCCGCGAGTGCATTAGAACGACAGGGACGGCAAACTCACGTGCAACGCTTTTCATGCCAGCCATAGACTCTTCCGATCGCTGTATAGAGTCAGCATTCACCAGTGGCCACACATCTTCACGACCTGTAAAAGCGTAGACATCGTTGATGCAATTTGCTCCCGCCAATATCGAAGCCCTTGCTACCTCCCATCGGAAGGTATCAATGCTAATGAGAGCTTCTTTCGAACGGGCGTCAAAATCTAGCGAGCTGGCGTCCGAGCCTCTTATGGCCGTGACAATGGGAACAATACGGTTTGTCTCTTCTTCCGTTGAGACGAAGACAGCTCCAGGCCTTGTCGAATATCCGCCAATGTCTATTATAGACACGCCGGCGTCGAGTGATTCATGTATGTAAGCCATGGCTGTTTCGAGCGTGTTGTGTACTGCGCCGTCGGAGAAGGAGTCGGGGGTGGCATTGAGAGTCGACATGAGATGGGTTTTGCGTTGAGTTGGGTATCGAGGAGTTTTGCTCTTGGTGATGGGATATGTCCAGTGTGTCAAAGTCGGAGGAACGATAGGTACATCTGGATGCGTCCAACTGTAATCTACCGGGAGAGGATATCGAGGAAAAGGTAATATTCGACGCATTGACGGGTCTTCTTCCGGAAGCGCATCGACCAGTTCAGAGATACTTTTTTCGAAAACGGGGTGAACGAAGTCAGGAATCATACTGTGCATTGGTAGAATCAAATTTAACAAGATAGAAATTAATTTGCCTACTCATATAGCGGTCGTAAAACAAATTCTCGTTCAGAGACCTTAGGATGTGGAACAACAAGCTCTCCCAATAAATTTTCCAGAGAGTTTCTGTCGCCAGGTGAACGAGTGTCTATCACTTCTGTTCCGTAGAAGACGATATCGAGATCAACGGCGCGGGGTCCATTTCGAACCGAAGGAACACGTCCGACAGTAGTTTCAATGTGTTTTAAAAGCCGAAGAAGAACTAAAGGTGGAATATTCGTCTCGATCTACTTAAATATCCGCAAATTAGTTGGGGTCCTGATGAAACGAGAGCGACGCACGAGGCACGCGCAATTGATGAACGAAGGTTGATCAGTGACGTACATAGGCGAAGTTTCGTACATGAAACTAGTGTCCACTACTGTAGCATAAACATCTGCGCCACATTGTTGGAGGTCCTCAGGCGACAAGTTTGCTTTTGGAAGTTCCAACAGACGGAGCGCAAGCTCAATATTGTGAAATCGATCACCCAGATTCGAGCCAAGTGCAAGGGCAGCGACCAGAGTTCCACTAGACGGTGCAGACATTTGTGCCTTGGTGTGAAAAGGTGGTGATGTTACTGCTCACATTCTATGCATCGACTTGGAAAATTGTCTCCGAGCCGGGCCGGAATTGTTTGCCACGACCAAGCGACGTAAACATGACACGTGCTTCACGCCCCAAGGGACGGTGGACTCCCCATCATTGTTTCCCTAGCGCGACTTCTAGAGTAACATTTTGTTCTAGCCTGACCTTTGCATATTTCTCGCCCGATGTTTAGCGAGGAGCTCAAAACCTTCAAGAGGTTGGGTATACGCCATGTTCGTCTCGCCAAATGGCTATTCCGAACTTGATTATATTCATCGAACTTCTAGGTTCTCCTTCAAGTTTTAAACTTTGCGACGGTCATTGCATCCGGACTCATGATTTGGAAAGGACTTGGCCTCATAACAAATTCCGAGTCGCCCATTGTTGTCGTATTGAGGCACGTCACTTTACATTCGCCGCTGGCCATCACTAACTCATCTACTTCCTGACAGCGGTTCAATGGAACCCGCGTTTTATCGCGGTGATCTTCTTTTCCTTACGAACTCAGCTTCAGGACAGTATCGCACTGGTGACATCACGGTGTATAAGATTCCTGGACAGGAGATTCCCATTGTTCACCGGATTCTCGAAACACATGATCTGGCTCAGAAGAAGAAAGAGTACGTTTTATCTATCTACGCGTCCGGTTACAGAACCTAACTATTCCTTGTGTCATTTAGCAAGAGAGCGGGACTGCCAGCTAAACAACTACTATTGACAAAAGGAGACAATAACGCCGTCGACGATGTAGACTTGTATCGAGGTATAGACTGGCTAGAGAAGAAACATATTGTAGGGAAGGTCCAAGGGTAAGTCTATCCAGCATATAGACATTCAGAACTGCGTTAACTTCCTTAGGTTCCTTCCCTACGTGGGATACATCACGATTGCGATGGTGAGTTGACTGTCTTTACAGTTTGTATACTGATTAATTTATGTCCCTTTTTTGTGTTTAAGAATGACTTTCCACAGTTAAAATATGCTTTGTTAGGTAGTCTCGGTTTGTTGGCACTCATTCAACGAGAATGAGGCAATACTGATACATACATTTTTATGTTCCTGTAATATTAAATTTGAAGGTCACTTTATCTCAGGAATTCATATTGTCTTCTTAGCATGCTAGGGCGCATAGACTCAAGCATGTCCGGTAAGATATGCAATTCCCATGAATTTGGTATGGAGTGATTCCTGTAACTGAAAGGAAGTAATGGAGTCTTTTTATTTGCGTCCAAAGTGAAATGTTGTAGGCGGGGCGCTGTGAAAGCGACTGTCTTCATGGCCCCCTCCCAGCCATCATGGTCTATATACAAATACAAGTCCTTTAGTGCAGGAAGCTGTTCTAGGGATGGTAAGACAAAACCCGCCGGTATTTTCTTCAGCGAGAGATGCGTCAATTGAGGCAACACAATTTTAGAGTCAGCTAGCACTTGAAAGGCATAGTCAGAGATGGAGACACTCTCGAGGGCGTGTGTGGAGGGGAGTAACCAGGGGCCCGTACTCGGATTTGAAAGGCCAATATGATAGATGGCGGACACCGCTGCCCTTTTCGAGAATAATCCTGGCATTAGTTCGGGGCATTTCGCTGAAAAAAAGAATGTTCTGCACTACGGTAGCAAAAAATTCAGCTAGCCTTTTCTGAACCATCGGTAGGATTCGGTGAAACTCGGCGATCCCGGGAAGACGACAAGGTAGATTCCACGTTGATGAGACCACGATGAGGCTCTTGTACATGATTTTCTCGACAGAATTGGATGTGCTTAGAGACGACTGAGAACGTATGAGCATATGTAAGCCGCATGCTTGAAAATTAGTTCTTCGATTTCTGTGGGAAGGAAGATTTTTGACATGGCTAGTGCTTTGGATATCAGACTTAGTTCCAGATAGTTGGGGTCTGGCTGAACATTAGCACAGAAAGTGAATGATTGACAGCCTTGCAAGAAATCTTCGGCCGACCTTGATGTCACGGAGGTAAGAGGACTGGATACTACATACTAGAGAAGACTCACTACAGTTCAAAATTATGTCGCAGCTACTTCTTTGACCAGGCGGTGGAGCTTTGGTTCACTGTGATTGGCATAATATTCGAAAATCACGCTTGTGCACGTGATGTAGGCGCATTTTCAAGGAGAGCGCTCTTTCAAAACGGTTCGATACATCGATATCAATGTTGTGAGCGCCCAGAGGGTGCCGAAACTGGTTGTGGTCGATACGGAGTTTGAAACAAGACTAGTCGTGGAAGAGATGTTTTCCTTTGTTATTTTAACGAAGTAACAAATGCTTCCCCGCTACATGGTTCCCGTAAAGTTTCAAATTTCAGTATTCACGGCAGTACGGTACTGATACAAAAGTTACTAGAACTTGCGCATGTCAATGCGTAAATTCACTCTGGACTCCAGTAGCCCTTGAGCACAGTAAGTGAGAACTTCGTGAAGGCATTCAACGGGGAATCCTCACTTTTCTTACAAGGTCTGAGCCCTACAAGACGGGCAAGCGCCTTCTACTCGCGCTCCCTTCTCGTAACCAAACTATCATTGTCCAAGTCGTTAAAATGTATCCCCCGACCCACTCTGTAGTTCTCCTGGTCAACAACCTTAGTCCTTCCTCGGACATTCCCCCTCAAGCGATTTTGAAGCTTGCTGATCGCCGTTTTGGGTGTTCCCGAGAGGAAATCCTAAACGAGCCGGCGTGGCCTTGGACACTAGACACAGAGCGCCACTTTCAAGCAAGCCTTCGTGCTTACATACAAGCCCATGGTCATCCTCCCAACTTGAAATCCAAGATTCAATGTAATAATAAACCAGAGGAAGAGGGGGAGGATGAGGATGAACCGACGTGGGTGCGGGAACTCCGGCATTGGAACACCTTCAATTTCGTCCATCAGAACGAGAAATTGGCATACTCATACTTAGAAGACGCTCAATCGCGCGGCTTTGTTCCCCGATGTTTCGGTGCATTCCGCATTGCTATGTCTTCTGAAAAGGTGCATCCCTCACTTGATCACATTGATGGCCT